CGGTAGTTGAGATGTGAAAAATATATTTGTTTTGAATTGTATCAGCACACAACGTGAAAAATATGGCAACAGGAAATTCTGTTTTGAATTGTACAAATTCGTGATGAATTCGGTTTGAATAGTAATGAAGAATTGAAGCATACGAATGGAATAATGAGATTTTGTTTTGTACAAGAATAGAGGAAGGAGAAGGAATAAGACAAAGCAGATTTGTTTTTGTTTTTGTGAAATGTAACTAGGGTATTTTGAAGACATTTGGCGAATACAAGAGATTTGTGCGCGTTTGTGATTGTATCGGATAAATCGCTTGGCTCGGGACTGAGACGGATATCCGCAGTGACGGGTGCAGATGCTGAACGAGTGGTGCAGAAAGGAAACGATTTAAGAGAGCGCATTTCGAAGTTGAACCATTCCAACGACAGTTTCGATCGAGATTCGGCAAGCATTGAGAAGGTTATTCAAGAATTGTAATTTAGAATTCATTCATTCATTCATTTAGGACTTAAAATGAGGCGTTTTTCAAAGTGTTATTCAGAAACATCAAACATTTCAAAAAAAGATTACCGATAGTGAAGGTTGGGTATGTTAGCTTCGAAAAACTCCATGAGAGTGGCAGGCTAAATTTTAGACGCAAATTTCAAAGTATGGTATTATATCTTGAATGATGGCACTATACACTACCAGAAATGTATACGACTAGGTGAACTGTAACATTAGCCTGGTGTCAATTGGTTAGGAAAATATCAAGTCAATTCGCTTTGTTAGCGTTTGGTTTGAGTTCATGAAAAGGTTTGCTTGAAAACTCTTTGCTGAGACCACACCGTTGGAATGATTATCTCAAAAGGAGTTATTCAACAGCGTTTAAATTGTTATCATTTGAAATGTGGATGTGTGAATATTATTTGAATATTATTTTCAATTGATCAGTGAAAATATTTGCAATCAATTGATCAGTGCAATTGATCAGTTGATCAGTGATGTTCTTGATTGAAACCGTATCGCTCAAATAGGTCATCTTTAAGGAACTTAAATCAAGTATTGTACCGCTATTGTACCGAGGCGAGTTGTACGGTTCGTTGAAACACCTGAAGAAAGAGGCACAATCGTTACGAAAAAAGTTGAGACGAAGGAAGGCAGCTACGATAGGAAATGACAATAATAATGGTAATGATGATACGAGAAGGAACGCTTAAACGGATGAGAAAACGGATTCTGCGAAACATTTGTTTGTGTTATTATTTATTATTCGCGAAAAAAGTCCTCATTTGTTTATCCACAAAAAAATTTTGATGTATGTCGATGCGCATTAGCTATGGTTGAAAAAGATTCAGCGGGCATATGATCGCTAATATTAATCATTGATTTGTTTATTTATCCGCTGATTTGAGTGTGTTGACTAGAATACGATAGTGGACTGACTTTCATAGTGATTTGTCTGTTGAAACTTGCTTTATTGGTTAATGAAATGTTGAAAAAATTATCATACTGAATATTATTGTTGTGTTGAGTGCGATTGAATTTTTCATATTAGTACGAGTTAATCTAAATTCATCACTCACTG